TTGATATCCAGTTAATAATATAAGGTCTATATTTGTTTGGCCAATACACATTTAACATTTATCTTGTCAAATGACAATTGTGCTCACATATTACTACCATAAATATTTTTTTGTTTCCCCCGGAGGTTCTGTATTTGTATTGTGTCCAATTAAATTTAAATTTACACCTAAAACTCCTATATTAAAGATAAAATATTTCTTAATAAAGATGACTTCATACTCAGATAAACTTGGATCCAAGTTTTCTAATTAAAAATAATGATGTATTTACCACTCCGACCATCATAACCCTCATTGATTACCACCATGTATAATACCCCATGCTTAACCAAGGGGGTGGGGGTGGGTGGGGGATCAGTGGAGAATATGATTAAAAGAAGAAGTGTGCCAAAAGATAAGGGTGCAAAAAGGAATGGACCGACCAAGAAACAAATTAAAAATACTACTATAAAGTTTTGATTATAAAATAGAAAATTATTGGAGCTTACAATGCAAGTATTGTTGGATTATGTCTACTTTAATTTATTCATTTTCTTTTCCCTCCCCCCTTCCTTTTTTTCAGCTCAAGAAACAACTTTAAAATATTTTTAACATAATGTGATTGTATTATTCATTTTAGATTTAATCAATGCGATATGTATCTTTCTTATCAATTTTTTTTGGTTTCCCACTTGTTGTCTGGAATCTGTATTGGAGCTTCAACTAAATTCGGATCACGCGCTACGCTGCTCATTTAGAAGAGGCGCTCCTAACAAATTTTTTTCCATATTCCGAATCCGAACTCAAAACTTCTGATTAAAAATAAAGCAATTCTACCAATACACCACAATCCAATGGATTGTGCGTCTTTCTTATCATAATATTACGTGTCAATGAAGTATGAGACGATACAATTATCACATAGTGCACACTTGGGCCCATTTTAAGAATCTTAGTCGTCATTGTTATTATATTTACTCTAGTTGGTAGCATTTTTTTTTAAAAATATTTTCTTTGTTCTATATATTGTGAAAGGCTTTTAATTTAATTTGTTGTATTGTATATTTTAATGTAGTCGGTTATTGTTATTATGTTCGTACTACGTATACTGCTTGCTCCTTTGACTTTTGATTATCTTTTTTCAGTTCGAACTTCGAAGTATAAAATAAAAATTCTGAAAAATAAATTATGCAACATTTTTTACATAATTTCTCCTGAAATTTTAGCCCCCTCACATTTATTTAGACTCATTTGATATTAAGTTGAGCGGTTGGATATCGCAAAAAATTTACCATGTCGATTTTTATTAGTTAACTTAGAAAAAAGAAGAAGAAAATATAACAATATTTAGGAATCAATTCTTATAGTGTTGTACTATTTATATTTTTTCCACATTATCTTTATTTTACCTTATCAATATTTAGGAATCAATTCTTATAGTGTTAGGGGAATCATATTTATAGAAAAGGGATTTAACTATATATCATCTTTATTTCTCCAAATTATTTTTTGAATGGGTGTCAATTGTCACATGTCTAATATTGATATCAATGACTTAGGTTTAATTACTTGAAGACTATAACAACAATTTATGTATTGATATCAATGACTTAGGCTTAATTACTTGAAGGCTAGAACAATAATTTATGTAGAGTGGGAAAATAGACAATTAATTGAGGGCTATAACAATAATCAATGGTGGCTATTTTTCAAAGAAATTGGCTACAATTGCAATTCAAAATTAGGCAAAAAAAAAAGAAGAGAAAAAACACTAACAATCCAAGTCTCCCAAAACCAGCTAATCCATGCGTGCTACAGAGGCGAGCATATGAATTGTGCTTCTTCACCCTAAATTTAAGTCATCCAAACCCATTTAATAGCTATAATTCACGGTTGAAATATGTCATGATTCCTGATTCTCTATTATGCCACCCTCTTCAGGTGGATGACTTTCTAAAAATAACACACAATGCTTATGTCAGGGACAAAATACAAATGGAGAAAGCAATTTGAAATACAAATGGAGAAAGGAAATTGAAAAAATTAGAGTGGTATTTGACTGTTCCATTAGAGTCACTTTCTTTTTATGGGTTTAGACGAAAACTTTACTCCTGAATCCTATTTTATTTTACTTTTTCTGAACGGTACAATGTACCACAGAAGAAGCACCAACATTCATGTGAAAAAGATAATTTGCTTGAAAAATGAAAATTAGATTATTGTCCACAATTGCAAGATCAAGAGAAACTTTTTTAGAATCTATCATTAATATTTTTAACATTGTTAATAGTGTAATTCTCAACTAAAAATTGTGTGAAATTACAATTTTCATCCGATGGGAGAGATTTTTTTTTGGGTTAATTCTCAAAATTATATTGTTGTAGTCTAATTTTGATCCAATAACATGAATAAAGAACAACAATTTACAAATTTTATTTGGTAACATGTGCAAACTACCAACTTTAAGTATGTCAACTCCATAATAAAGGAAATCCATGCAAAATATCAAAAAGGGAAAAGGGTCAAATATGCCCCTAAACTATTCGAAAAGGTTTAGATATACTCCTCGTTTAAAGTTGGCTCACTCATGCCTTCGTCGTCCAACAATTCGTCTAGATATGCCCTTATGGGCATTAAATGCCAAATGGAATTGCCACGTCATTTTTACATTACCACGTGACATTTATATTAAAGGGAAAAGGGTAAATATACCCCTAAACTATTCGAAAAGGTCTAGATATACCCCCCCTTTTAAATAAACTACCCGACCCATTTTTAACAAATTTTTTTCGATAAATCCCAAAAATGAGTAATTGACCAATAAAAAATAGAAAAATATGAAAAAAAAATTAACGCCAAAAATTCACAAATAAATATAGTAACCTTAAATTCAACAATTTAACAATTTTTTAAAATTTTTATTTTTTTTCGATAAATCCCTAAAATGAGTAATTGATTAATAAAAAATATGAAAAATATAACCTAAAAATTCAACATAAAGTCATTTTCATATTTTTTTATTAATCAATTACTCATTTTCGTGATTTATCGAAAAAAAAATAAAAAATAAAAAATAAAAAAAATTGTTGAATTTAAGGTTACTATATTTATTTACGAATTTTTGGCATTAATTTTATATTTTTTTTTCATATTTTTCCTATTTTTTATTAGTCAATTACTCATTTTCGGGATTTACCAAAAAAAAAAAAATTAAAAAAAAATTGTTGAAAACGGGTCGGGTAGTTTATTTAAAAGGGGGGGTGGATATATCTAGACCTTTTCGAATAGTTTAGGGGTATATTTACCCTTTTCCCTTTAATATAAATGGCACGTGGTAATGTAAAAATGACGTGGCAATTCCATTTGGCATTTAACACTCATAAGGGCATATCTAGACGAAAAGTTGGACGGCGAGGGCATGAGTGAGCCAAACTTTAAACGGGGGTATATCTAGACCTTTTCGAATAGTTTTGGGGCATATTTGACCCTTTTCCCTATCAAAAATAATTTTATAGATATCCAAAACGAATGTTGCTGCTAATTTGTAGATACAAAAATCAGTGCAAAAATGCATTCAACATTATCTTAATAATACACAACAGGTTAAACACAAAAATTCGTGCAATCTTCACAACTAAATTTAGGATGGTAATAGAACTCTCACATAGTTTAGAAATGTAAATATTACGAAAAAATTAAGTTCAAAAAAATAATAAGACCCTTACATAGTTTAGATGTGTAACCGACAATTTCACCATAGTTCAAAAGGCTTTCATCGCAAAACAGAAAGTAAATATGATTATTAATGGTGCATTCTATCATCTTAAGTTATGATGTGTTTCATTATATCTTTATATATTCCATCATACACTTGAAATTTCCAGTGTGTTGCCACAAGTATAATCATACATTTTTATAGCAATAATTCATTCACAATGGCCTATTCTCAGATGTGGGCTGAGAACACAATGATGTATATGTAATTGATAGCATTAAAATTCTGAACACAGAATTTTTACATCCCTTTGCCTTAATGACAATGGTCTTATCGGGTAACTTTATCTATCAAGACTTAGATGGAAAGAAGCTATCTAGTAATTTTTTTTGCTTCCGCTGAAAATTGAACCTATGACCTAAATGGTGCTCAATCACTTTATTGATCATAGACTACATATTATGAATCAGTCCAAGCCCAATAATGTTGATACCTATAGGGATGCCACACAAGTAACTATTGGGCTGAGAAATAGAACCAGAGGACCTTTAGAAAGGTTGATTTGGGATCCAGGCAACTAGTTTAAAAGGGCACGCAGTTCGAAAGAATAGCTTATGCGTATTGTGATCATGATTAGGCAAAGTCTGTATCCAAAGTAAATCAGGAAGATTCCTCCATGAATAACTAGGTCCTAGGTTATGTTAAGTTACAGACTATCGATCCATGATGGCACTGCCTTATAGGGCCATTGCCAGTCAACTAAAACAGAGGCAATCTGGTAATGCATGCTAAGTAGATAATACATATATCTTGCATTACATGGTTCTTGATCTACTGGTTTTAAGTCGACGTTTACCACATGTCAAGAACCTAGTATTACTACTCTATCACTGACTTAGATTCAGACGAGAATCTAGATTCTGAAAAATGGAGAATAGGATGGCCTGATGAGGAAAGAAAGAATGTCAGGATTCATAACATATCAAGGGACTCCTGACATTCTTTCTTAGTTACTTGTTCTAACTAAACAATTTGAAAAAGGAGATGAGCATACAGGTAGAGTCTAAATAATAATGATGAAAAAAGATTCTATAAAGAAAAAATCACATTTATGCAAGACCAAACACGTACCTCATAAAACATCGTAAGGTGTTCAACAGGGTGCCACAGAAACTCCGTCGCACAAAAGCTGACTATTTCCTTTAACAACCGAGAAATCCTCAAGCGCCGAGTGGCACAGTCCAAAACTCATGGATAATGATCCTGCACTTCTCCACTTAAATACCATGCTTTTGTGCCTAAGCCACACATCACATATTGCATTATTACCACTAGACTAATGCCCCGGGCCTCATAGTGCATAAGTTCAATTTAGGCAATGAATTGACATATCTCCCTACCTTCATCTTCAAAGAAGGTTTAAACATGTATGACAACAATGAGCAAACAATTTCGATCTTAAGAGGGAGAAAAAGTAACAAGCTTTTGCCAGTAAATTAAAAAGGGAGAAAAAGTAACAAGCCTTAATATTTGACTATATTCCGATCTCCGAAGCCACTAACTTCGCAGTATCACCAAGTATCTCAAACACATTAAATATCCAGAGAAATCTCTGTGTGTGGGAGTGTGTGTGTGTGGGGGGGGGGGGGGGGTCTGAGCAACCTCCTGGTGCTGCTCCATGTTCACAAAAGCCTTCTCACAGGCATGACATGAATGAGCATGCCCAAGAAAATGAAAAGAAGATCCACAGGTAGAACAATGCATATATTCAAAGTTAACATCCCTATTTAATACTCGGAAATTCGTACAATAAACTGTTACAAAAGAAAGAAAAGATCAATCTTTATATGATCCACAAACAAAAGTGGAATTAACAAACACCTAAACACTGTATGTACCTTTTTACTTAATTATCTACCCTCAGACTTGAGCAATTGTGAGAAAACCTTACTCATGGAAACACCAGAGAGATCATCCAAATTTGGTGTTCCGTTATGAGCAGCAGAAGCACCGGGATCAACTTGACTGAAATCATCAACTTGTGGAGAGAGCTCACCAATAAGGATGGTGCTGTTTTCTTCAGGATCATCTTGAATGACAGCTTCTTGAAGTTGAAGTGCATACTCCAGATTCCACAACACATCGCCCATTGATGGCCTGTCTACACCAAAATCAGCTAAGCATTTCTCTGCTGTTTCTGCAAACTTCCTGAGGGAATCTGGTCTTATTTTACCCTCAAGATTGGAATCTATAATTTGTTCCAGTTGTCCCAACTTCTGCCACTTCATTGCCCATTCAGCTAAGTTGACCATCTCTCTCGGAAGAGATGGATCTATGACAGGCCTAGCACAAAGAACTTCGAATAAAACAACACCGAAAGAATAAACATCAGATTTTTCTGTCAGCTGTTGCCTTCTAAAATATTCTGGATCTAGGTAGCCAAAACTTCCTTTCACGGCTGTGCTAACATGAGTTTGATCAAGTTCAGGCCCTGTCTTGGATAGTCCAAAATCAGCAACTTTTGCCATAAAACTCTCATCAAGCAGTATGTTTGCGGACTTGACATCACGATGTATAACTGCTTTAGCATAGCCAGTATGAAGGTAGTGCAGACCTCTGGCCGACCCAATGCATATCTCCAGCCTCTGCTTCCAGCTCATACTGGGTAGATCTGACCCATACAGATGGCTCTTGAGGGTCCCATTCTCCATATATTCATAAACTAGAATCATTTCATTTTTTTCATCACAGTATCCCATCAATGAAACCAGATGCCGGTGGCGGAACTGAGAAAGCATCTCAATTTCCGTTCGGAACTCTGCAAGACCTTGTTGGGACTTGGGATTACCCCTTTTCACAGCCACCTTTGTTCCATCATACAAAACACCCTTGTATACCTTCCCAAAGCCACCTATTCCAATAACCAAACTCTCATCGAAGTTGCTCGTTGCTTCCAGCAAAGCTGCAAAAGGAACGCGATAACTCATGTTTGAAGCAGCACTTATGGTTGTTCCGTTTGAATACTTGCTTCCCATGGTGTGTGAAGTTCCACCATTCATAGATAAAGGAATCCATATTTTTGACTGGGCAAGCTTTTCTTGTTTTCTTCTTCTATGCATGCAAAATAAGATGCCAACCATCACCAACACAACTGGGACACCTATACACACACCCACGATGACTCCGACATTCTTCTTTGCCTTTGAACTCGGGTTAGTAGAAACAGAATCTACCTGACTAAGGCTGCCCTGAGAATTATTCAACTTCAGAAGTTCCAGTCCATTTAGGAAGGCATCAGGATAAGCACTCCTTGAAGATGGGCCCACACTAACGTTAAGCCTATTACTTTTAGCGGTTGGAGTAACATAATCATTGTAATAAGCTGTGGCCAAAATTCCCCGAGCTTTCTGACCAGGATCAAAATCATGAGCCACGTTCCAGGAGTTAACATAAATGTTAAACAGCAGCTGATTGGCAGCTATACTCACTATGTCACAGAAGTGTAAGCGAATGAAATATTGAAACCCAGGATCCACATTAAACGTCCAGGTCACGTTAAAATTGGCATTAGGATCATCACCAGTACCAGCCACGTTCATCTTACTACAAGTACCATAAACTGACGGTGGTGCAGAATCTGGTGTTGCTCCATCTGCTGGATATTTTACGGATCCAATCTTACTAACCGACTTAGCTGAACTTGGCTGAATCAAGAAACTTTGATCAGTAACCCAAGTTCTCCAAAGTGTATCATTATCAAACGACACCAACGATCCACCCATGTTTACCCTAGCGACTGTTTCGAGAGCCTGTGCATACATACCACTAAATGTCCCAGCTGGACTAATGGTGGAGGCATCATCAGTTATAAGGACATCAGGTACAGAGACAATTTCCATAGCATTTATATAAGCAAATGAATTGCTCGAAGGAGAGAACGTTACTACAAGGTCATTCGAGGTAACATTTACTGAAAATTCCTTGACAGAAGCATTTTTTGGAGAGAAATTGCCAAGAAGAACATTCTTTTGAGTGGAAACAGAGAACATTGCAGTGCTCATATCATAACCTTGGTAAACAAACGGGTAAAAATAAAGGCGAATCCAATGCCTCCCCGTTAGGCTAATTGGAAATTTATAGCTGGATTGTTGAGTAAAAATTCTAGCAGTTTGATAAAGGGGTGAATCATTAGCTTTTGTAATTGAATTTGAAGGGGTATCAGCCAATATATCTTTTGAAGTTGACAAAAACTTTGAAGCTGATTTATCAGCCATAAAAACCCTATTACCAACATTAGTATCTTTAGATGATCCACAATCTACTAAGAAATTATCAGCAGGTTCAAAACCAGAAACACACAAAACTCCCAACACCAATATAAACAAGCTCTTCACTAACAATCCAAAACCTTCCATCATCATTCAAATCCCAAAAGCACACAAAATTAGACCTTAAAGGCTAAAACAAGCAGTTCTTGAAAAGGAACAGTAACACAAAGAACAACTATTTCATCACCACAGAAGCACAATATATGAAATACCCATCAAAAGAAACATCAACAGAAGGGTAAAGATGTCACCTTTTTCATTCAAAAGAGCTCCAAGACTGAGAAAAAAGAGAAACCCAAATCAATAATGAACAAACAGAACATAAATCAGAAGAAAACTCTTGAGGGGTACCAGAAAATATTTGTTTTTTTTCAGGTAGAAAAGAAGAGAAAGAGAATGATATCTTGGATTTTGGAACATTAACAGGCAGGTTGATGCTTTAACTGAAAAACCCACCTCAGATACAAACAAATTAATAGAATTTTAAATTCAAAGAAACCAAAAACATCATTTTCTAGAATGTGAACTAGCAATTCATGAAGTCAAAAGGGGCCATTTTGTATAAATATTTGTGCCAAGAATTAATATTTTTTGAGGGTTTTGGTGGTGTTGACTCTTTCTGAGTATGGGGGAGTGGAGTTATGTTGTTCAGCTCATTCATGGAGGGTAAAGAAGAGAGAGAAAAGATGGTGGCAATAGGGTGTAAAAGTAACAGACAACATTTATTTGAGCAGAGTAAAGAGTTATGGGCTAAAAGAAAAAAAGGAGAAGAAATCTAAATTAGTGGAGCAATCCATTCTTATTTTTTTTTAAATAATTAATTAAAAGTTATTCCATTCCTTTTACTATTTGTGTATCAGATTATAATTTATAAAAAAATTCAAAAATAAAATTATATATTTTAAAATTAAAGATATTAATATTTAAGCATGTCATATGAAAATTAAAATTAAGAAGTTGTTAAGATAAGAAAAAGACACTACTTTTTAAATTAACCTTTAAAACATGAAGTAAGACAATCAATTTGAAATAGATGAGATACAAAAAATAAAAAGAAAAAGAAAAATCATTTATTGATATTTTATGTGTATTTATTGAAAACATAATAAAATGATCTCTTATGCTTGAAAATCCATTCAAAAAATTACTTTAAATTCATCAAATAAAATGTCAATTTCAACTTAAATTTACAGTATAAGGTGAAGTTAAAAATAATTACTACTCATTTTTTAGCAAGTAGACCAAGTCTTTTCATTTTCCAAATCTTATCCTGTAAAATTGTCCTTTTTATTGATTAAAATACAAATCACAAGTCACTATAAGAAAGCAATTTGGCAACAAATTAAACTTGGACCAACCACTTTACTTAATAGCATAACTATGGCAGAGTCATTCTTTAATTTAATTTAATTACTTACAAATTGACAATAAGATAGATATTTGGTGGCTGTTTACGTCAAATTTGACATTTTCCCCCATAATTGATTGCTTAATTAATGTAATTACCCAACAAAGTAAGCTGAGTCTAAGGCCGCTTCCTTTAGATTTAATTTCACTTTCACATCTACCTCATGATCATTTTTTGACGCGAAATAATAATAGTATAATGTCTTTAAGTGATATAGTTTGTAAATAATCAATAAATATACAGGTTTTTGTATATTTATTCAAATATAAATATACACATAATAATCATACTTAATGTATAAATATTGTATATTATAAATCTTTTTCCTTGATCATCAGATCTTGTTACGTTCTTCCCTAGGCTCTAATATTACAAGATATCTTAGATATATGTTTATATTAATTATGATTAATTTATAGCAGTTAATAGACTGAAGTCTAAAGACATGTTTTTTATTTTAGATAGAAAGTCGAAGATTATGGTAGAAGAGTAGTAGATAATTAAGTATTGTCATATTTTTATTATAAGTATAATTTAGGTATCACTTAGTGTTTTTTTTTTCAATATATAAATTAATATTTGTTGTTATACTTGTTTTGTATGTTGTCTCTTTTTCTTTCTTAATTTTCTATTTTTAGCTAAGGATCTATAGGAAATAATTTCTCTATCCCGTAAAAATAAAAATGAATTTTATGTACATGCTATCGTATACCCCACATATAATCTAATACTTGTTCACATAAAAATTTACTTGTGAAAATTTTTCTTTGAATAAGTTGATGTTTGTAACTTGGGATCGACAGTGTCTTAGCGTGTTGAAATTTTGTTTTGTGTTATTAATTTCATAATCTCCATGCAATTTCTTAATTTAAAAAAAAAACAATTTATATCATCACTTACTTTTTTTAATTATGTCTAATAGATAATATTTCCGGAATATCATTATCTTAAGCATGTATTAAGGAGAGTTCATCGAAAATAACTTTATTTTTATAAGTTAAAAATAAAACTACATATATGTTATTATCATTTCAAACTCTACTAATAAAATTATATTGAATATGATATTATGTTATTTATATCACTATTCTTTTCACACAATGACACACTATATATATATATATATATATTCAAACTCTACTAATAAAATTATATTGAATATGATATTATGTTATTTATATCACTATTCTTTTCACACAATGACACATTATATATATATATATATATATATATATATATATATATATATATATATATATAATAAAGGTTGTGTATGTCATGGTAGCCACTTACAAGAAAAATAGTGGTAGGTGAAATGGTCCATCAATCTTTTTTCTTATATGCACGTATGTTATCAACGAACATATATTGGTCTTTCAATCAAATCTATTATAGATCTATGCATATTAATCATTTCTGTTGTTTTTACATGACTTTCTACATTCTTATATGTACAAGGCACCTTATTTAATTTTATTTTATTTGTTATATCACGCCACATTAATTAATATAGAGCCAAAATAAAGATTTGAGGTTTATAAGTATTCAATGACTTTTTAATAACAATAACAGATTGAATTTTGATTAAAATTATTAAGTTTGACTAAATTCATAAGTCATATCTTAACTTTGTCCTTGTATATATGTGCGTGCATACATATACAACAAGCAAAGGCATATATGGCGCTCTCTCTCTCTTTTCTAATTTTTTGAAATGTAAAGTTATGAATAAATATAATTATTAAAGCTAATTTTGTACATCTTATAGATATAGATATGAAAAACTATTAAAATTGTAAAAGGAATAGTGGAATACCTTTGAACCTATAATTTCAAAAGTTTTTTAACATAGTAAAACTCTAAAGATTAAATTTATTAAATTTAAATTCAAAATAGACCTGTCCATATTAGTGTACCTATTTTCTTAAAATTCTAGATCTACCTATTATAATAAGATGAGTAATCAAGTTGTCAAATAAAAATATATGATTAATCTTTTAAAAGCGTGTGAACTCTTTATATATTTAGCCACATGACTATTTTTATGACTTGGTATAGGTTTGTGAGGTTTTCAAAGGGACTAAGGACTAAATCAAATTAGGGCTTAAAATAAGAGGAAACAAAATAGTATATATATAAATGGAGAGAGAGAAATATAGGACAAATGGCTACACATAATTGAAAGAATTTAGGGACAAAATATGGACATAAAGGAAAACTACAAATAATCAAATATCAAAGGAAGGTGCTTGCTTTTTTAGTTTTATTTTTAGGACAACTGGAGGGATATCTCCAGCTGGAAACAAATAATTAATTTATAAAATTTGTTGCATTCCATTTCCCATGTAAAAGCCCAAGCCCCTTGTAATTTAATTAAATTCAGCATAATTTCATTAATATTATTACAACATATAATAAGATGGAAGATTTAATTTTGTAGTCCTCTATAAACTTGTTTTCAATTTTATGTCTTTTTGATAGAAGTTTTATCTTGTTACATCTAAAAGATCGAAAATATCATTTTTTTTCTATTCAATTTGTAAGTGGTCATAAAAGATCATTTCCTCTAATGGACACTCACAAGTCACATGTGTATGTATGTATAAAGGAATTAAGTTTTGTATTAAGGGGGTCATTTGATTTCAAGTAGAATTATTTAAGGATTAATAATCTTAAGGATTATAATTTAGGGTGTGCATATTTATATTGTAAATAGAGATCATGTTGTTAGTTATTTTTCATAAAGTGAAAAATAATAGAAAATTTATGAATTTATGAATTTATGAAATAAAATATTTTCCATTAGATTTGAACTCTTTTTTCATATTCAAAATTCAAAGCACAATTCTTTGAACTTGCAATAATGGTGATTTTAACGCTAAAATCTCTTAACTAGCTATGGTTAAAAAAATTAAAAAGGTAATTATACCTTAATCCTTAAATTTGTGGTGACCTCTTTGTTAATCTACAGGGTTACCATTCTGGACGATGATTAGTCTCAATTGACCAAATAAAACATAAAAAGTAAGGAAAACTTGCGTAAATGTTTCAATCGGCCATCTAGTTTAATTACCAACATGGTTGACGTATATACAATACCTATACATTTCGGTTGATATATTGTTCCCTTCGGTCATCTAGTTTAATTATCAACATGGCTGAAGTATATACAATATCTATACATTTCGGTTGATATAATGTATATAGGTATGTATCCTATCTATACACTTCGGTTGATATGTTATGGTATAGATAGGTATGTATACCACACATATATATACAATGTATAAAGTATACAATATATACACTACATATACACTTCGGTTGATATGTTGTGTGTATATATGTATACTATATATACATATATATAATATATGTGTGTATATTTTATGCTTTTGTGAAATAGATGACTCAAAACATTGACCTGTAATTTTCCCCAAAAATGATGATTTAATTACATTTATACTCGTTCAAAATAAACAAGATAATCAACTGTAAAGTTGGAAGGGAAAAACATATTCTAACAATCAACAAAATGTGGTATAAAGTGTTTTGGTATTGAAGTGTTAGTCACCGTACATATTGAACGTTTTAAAAATAGAGTCCATTTGAATTAGCCGATTGTACACAATACTCAAACTTTTCATAATCATATTCAACTCTTATCGTAGACAAATCAAAATTTGAACATATTTGTTAATCTCCTTCTTAAGGTGAAAAACAAAGATAATTACCAATATTCAACTAATTACCAACACTTGATTAAAGCAAAACCAATCTCTTAATCATCAAAACTTTTTGCTTCAATTGATTCTTTTACAATCTGAGTGAATTTCCCCATTGGTACCCGTTAACGGACTAATATTTCCCATATTAATCATAGACTGAACAAAGCTCTGAAAAAATGTATTTTGGTTACTACTAAATGTGTTCACAATTGATAAAGTTGTTCCTGATGAAAATAACTCTTGATCTGATTGCAAAAGCCCTTGATTGTTCTGCAAATTCGTGTAATAATTATTATCGAAACCATCAGACGTGGTGGGATCAAGATTAGCCAAGGCTGTTGCACTGCCATTTTGAGGACATATTTGCCTAAGGTTAGCTAAGTAAGTTGTGTTCAAACTTGGATCTGGATTTCCTGTGCCATTGAAATTGTAAAGCCGGGCACTGAATACACGACATTGGGCACGTCCAAATGTATGTGCACCTAATAATAAAGATTTATCGAAATTAATTAATAAATAGTTCGATTTCCCAAATGGATATATAATCAAAACAGAGCTAATTGATTAATTACCAGATAAGGCAACTAAATCGGTAATGTTAAGGCCAACAGCAGTAAACTTTGCTGTAATGTTGGTTAACCCTTCAGTAGGAGAAGGAATTGATGTATTAGCTCCTGCTTGGTTTGCGGTTCTACTGTCTCTTCGTCCTAATAAAACATTCCATGAAGGACCACCTGCCTGCACGGAATAAAGTTTAAGAAAGAAAGGAAGACTTTTGAAACGTCTCATCTAAAGTATCATTTCATTAAGGGTAAAAAGGGAATTTTAAAGTTGAATTGTTTTTAATTATAGAAATGTGACATTATTTTCGTACCTGAGAAACAGAGGATTCTGCAGCAAGAGCAAGAATATCGGCACATGAGACAACGCCAGGACAAGAACTTTCAAGAGCTGTTTTAATGTTGTCAACAACGTCGAAACCTCTTGTGGAATTTGTATTTGGAGCTGCATCTTTCTCACTTACTATATTTGTTGTAGCGTTGTTATCCAACAAAAGTGAAGCATCACATCCCTGTGAAATAACAAGTAGAATTATGTCACTTAAAATGAGCTAACGAGTACAAATTATGTGTAAAAACGTAATAAGAAAGAGTGAATTTACGTTGACAAAGCAATCGTGAAAATGAAGACGAATGAGGCTGGCTCCAATGCGCGCATCAGACTGTAAAGCTTGTTGAATTACATTTTGGACAATACTTGAAACATTTGGACATGTACTTGAGTAAAAATTAGCACTTAATTGAGCATTTGTTTCATAGAAACTACAAGCTGATAGCAAAATGCATATAACTGCTAAAATATAAGGAGACATTTTTTTTTTCTTGGTATTTATTTTTATTATATTTAGGTAGAAAAGAAGTGAAGAAAGATAGCTAGACAATTTCTTTTTCACTTGTGTCTCATGAATTAGCTATAGATCTAGGCAATATATAAAGAAAAAAAAAGTGTCTTGTCTTCATGTATTATTCTTGACAATTTCCAACATCATAGTCAAACAAAATAATTTACTTTATTTGTAAGTGTGTCTGGTGAAATAATTAGCAAGGCAAGATACTTAAAAACATCTCTAACATGATTCGGATTATTATTTTCCTACTGAAACCATGTTTGGTCTTAAATATTACCCTTGAATTTGGCTATTTTAAAACTTTTATTTCCGAACGTAGATAGTGATAAATTCAAGATTTTCGTCCTTTATCCCTTGAACATTGTCCATTGGTGTGACAAAGAGCGTGAGTATTAAAAAAATAAAAAGTGATCTTCCAATTGTGTAGTTCTCTTGCTATATCTTAATATATAATGCATATTTTTATCCCAACTTTTTATTTGTTTATAAAATTTCATCCATCGATAATTTGATATAAAAACAATTTATTTCAACGTTGTATTTTTTTAATAACAAATTTTGGGGTGTAGATGTATTCCACTCCACCAATTAGGAAATTTGTGTTACTAGTCAATTACAGCAGACTTTAGTGGAAAATGGTCTTAGGCAAATTGGGCAAAGAAGTAGTCATATGAGACTTTTTCAATATTTGAATAAAATATTAAAAATTCCGGTGATTTCTTATTTAATTAAAATCTTATGTAACAAGTAGGCGATGATGATTTTTATATATATCTCTGTCTCAATCTATCTGATATCATTTGAATTTTGAGAGTTAAAATGGTTCCATTTTTATCGTGAATTTGGACATGAGATTTTTAAATTTTTTTAAAATATAATTTATTTATTGAAAACCTACATACAAACTAAGAAGTAATACAAGTCGCAATAATTGATACAGATTCAATATACTTTTTGAAAAATATATTAAAAAATTACGATAAAAAAATTGTACCATCTTGAAATTCAGAGACACTTTTCTCATTAGAGAACCTTCTGCAATAATGGATGCAAGTTGTGACTGATTAATAAAAATCATTAAAGTTGATTTAACATTTTCAATAGTAAATTTTCAAAGATTCTCCATAATTTAAGGAAAAATCAGAATGTGGGCAATATGTTGCTGTATTCACTTTTAGTAATCATAAATTCCAATTTTCAATTTCAATAATTACATTTTCAAATAAAGATTAAGATAATTTTATTTTGATCTATATCTTTCTTTTTTAAGAAAAAAGGATAAAAATTGACAATAAAAGATATTCTTATAACCTCTTAGTAAGCCAATATGTTTGCAAATAATTGTTGTTTGATAAAATGACAAATTAATAATCTGTCTTTTAAACAATTTACTTTAATTAGGTGATTATTAGGGTTATCGATAGTCAAAGAAAACAGTTTTACTCCAACTACTTTCACCAAATCCTTATAATATCCAGAGGAGTTGCTACCTAATTACTTCTTCTCTTCAGTTCTTCGTGGTACCGTTTGAATTTTGAGAGTCAAATAGTTTAATTTTAATCATAAATCAGGCGTGAAATTTTTAAGTTTTTTAAAAATAAAATTTACATATTTAAAAAAACTACGTAAAAAATATTATAAGTCACAATAATCAGTAATTCAAGATAATTAAAAAAATTACGATTAAATAATTTTTTATATTTTTTAATTCCTCTAGATTTAAAAATTAATTATGTACTCTTCCATTTGATTGGAATGTTTTTGTATTCAACTGACTATCCAAGCCAACCAACAAAATATAAGCCTAAAGAGTCATTGTTTCAGATTTCACTCGTTATACAATAAACTATATTTATTGAATATATATAGTACTTGAAGAAAAATTCATGTCGACCAAAAAGTTAATGACCTTTTCATTGGTGACGACAAATCAGAAATTTCAATAATTTTTGACATATTTATTCATATACTTTTTTCTCTTTATATATATTTATCATAATTTTTCAACTAGAGATATTTTCCTATGCGTGACTTTACGCCATTGCTTCTCATATAAAGGAAGTTTTAGAATTCTTAGTTAATAGTTAATTACGATATTTGTGTATAATTTATTTTCTAATACCTTAATTATTGGAGAAAAGGCATAAAATATACTCAATGTCATGTGTATATTTTACGAATAAAATACATTTTTCGTTTCGATTTCCTTATTTTTCTCATTACGTTCCTTTTCATTCTTTTAAATTATTTTCTTTCACTTTCCCTTTGATTCCTTCTTTATCATTGACCTCTTTTTTCTGTTTTTGGAAACTGCACATCATATTAGTTGCGTTTGGACATGAGATATAAAGTTATAATTTCAAATTGGTGTTTGGACATGTAATTCAGGATCATGATTATAAATTTTAGATTCTTCAAAAGTATGATTTGAGATTCAAATCATGATTGCAACTTTTCAAATACAAAACTTGACCCATAAATTTTTATTCTGAAAAAATAAATGGATTCATGCTCAGCATGAACAGATTGTTCGTACCACGTGAAAGGATTATATTAAAGAATAATTAATTACTACTATTGTTGACTAGTGGATCTTTATAAAATTATGTGTGTTTGAAAGTATGTAATCGTAAATAGTTATTTATTAATAATTTTGAAGATGTGTGATTTATCAATATGGTGTCTTAGGTCATTCTGATATCTTGTTTATGAACTATTATTTATTCATTTGGAAAGATCGCGTATAAATTGGAAAAATTTCGATAGTTCTCACAACTTGTGAAATTTTTATATTTATAAAAAATAATACAACTTAATAAATTCAAAATTCATATTCAAATAAAATTTTAACTTCAAATTTTGAGTTCGATATAATTTCATATTGCAGGTCTAATTAAGAGACCTTTATGACCCATGTGTGGACCTTTATAGCCTTGGGTTTGGAATGAATGAGTTGGGCCACTATAACTTGGGCCTTAATAGAAGTGCTTGTTACGAGCTTGGAAAATTGGGCATGCTTAGGAAAGGAAAGTCCATATCTTCTATGTTTTTGTGAATTCATGTTTGCGCGGGGTTTGGTTGGGAACAAGTTATTTCAGGATTAATTATCTTGGAATTAGTTATCGTGGGATAACTTATCCCACCATGTATATGGAATAACTTATCCATCAGCCATCACTATGGTATAAATGGTGAAATATGTTATTCCAAACATTGCAACCAAACAAAACACCAAAATTTTAACCCAAGACTATTTATTCTTATCCCTCACACCAAACGATCCATAAGAAATCAGGTATTTATTAAAATTAGGGGTGTATCATTTTTATTTGATTTTGATCTTGGAACGTCTTCTTTCGTCAAAATTGAAGACAAATTTATGTCAAAATATAATGGAAGACATATTTGAATTAAAAACATATAACAGAAAAAGTATATTTAAACTAATTCAAATGATGCATGAGTATATTTGATCATTCAATTTTCCGTTAAAAAACTAAGACATGTTATGATATTCGGGAAGTAGCTAAGGCTTGACCAAGTCACATTCGTGTTAAGTGGTAGTAGTTCTCATACTTCGTTGTAAACCTCAATACTCATACACTCAAAATGACTTAGTATGAGACCTTTTATATTCCTAATACCTTCTTACATGTATATTATGGTTCCAAAAATAATGTCTACATCGAAAATGGGGTTCAACGTCAAAAAATTAATATGGATTTACCTAATATTGAGTCTAATTACCATGTGAAGACAATTTAAATATTTACTCCAAAACCTATAAGTACATGAGTATAAGGGTAAATATATTTTAAAATCTTATAAAAATCAACTTAAATAGTATCCTAATATACACTTGTTGTAAGATATTGTATATTTCTAACAAGTTGTGTCATAGCTATGAAGATGAAGTGTCAAGCAATTTTGTCCTCAATATCTTTCACACGTTGTACGCAACATCCCAAAAATAATTATAGAGATGACTTACATACCTCACAAAAGTCATCGTCGTTTTATAAATTTCTCCCCAATTGGCGTGTACGTAGAAAATTAAGATTGGACGTGAATTCAAAGCTTTGAAAATTATAAATTTCTATAATGATTTTAAGTTTATACTTGTTTCGTCCACTTTTACATGTTTAGTATATCAAGTGTGTGAAGTCGTCAATACTAGACAACAAAAAATGGACAAAGAAATATATATAAATTGAATAAAAACTATATATTGAATTCACCTGAACTCATACGTCTGTAAATTGATAATTGATACCTTCACTTATTGGTTGAGTTCAGCCCATTATTCTGCATGCAGCATAGTTTGACGAGTTCAAACTCCTCAAGTCTTGTATATTATCTGGCATATTAGTTGACTTCCCTAATTTAACGTGCATTAATTACTTAAGTCAACGGCAACGCAGTAAAATAAAGTCAATGCTATTAAGTTTACCGCTGACTTACCTAGTTTCATGGTACTTCTCATGATTTAATAGTATTTTTTGGATGTAATTAAATATTCTCTTTAGCCAAATAATTCATGCATGTGTAAGTATGCATTATAAAACTTTAGCCAAATTTTTTGTTTTAATCTAATTTGGAGAATATAAATTACAATATTAAGTAGGCGTTTGAACCTTAAGAGCTCTAAAACTCTTATCCTTGTTACTACTTAGGAGTAAAAAAACTTAAAACTAGCGATATTTATAATACGATTCTCAACCAACAAGCTCATCAAAATATAATAGAAAAACCTCCAACGTGATCAATCCATTTAGCCTTAAGCCTATGCCTCAATTAGCTCAGTTGCAGAGGAAGATTATTAATTAGTTCTGAATTAATTTGAACGAACTCAGTAATTATGAATATAAAAAAATTCATTACATATGAATAAATATTTAAATACCGATTCAATAACTATGAAGACTATGAATTTATTAATAAATTCAGAATCCATCAACTTTAAATTTTGGCTGTGATCCGCCTCTAGCTTGAATTTCCACGATACAAATTGTCTAGTGTGTGAATGATAAAAAGGACAATGCAAC